CGTCTAGTTTTTGCCTTGTCGTCCTAGCGCAAACTGGCTTACTGATATTCACACGTCTTTGACAGACTCCGCGCCTGATTCGACTCGACTACCTTAGAGCTGCCCAGTATTACGGCTTTGCGACCCAGGATTGCCAATTTATTTTGGATTTCAGCTCCACGCGACATTCATCTTGGTTTTGTCTGCAAGTCGACTCTGCCGCAAACGCACCCGGAACGCTCGTTTCTTGCTACTTCCTGCGTCCTTATCGCCTGGCCCCAATGTCCCGGCTTTCTAACTAGGTTGCTCATTGTTTTCTCTCTGGAGCCGCAGAGCGGCGTAGGCACAGAAACATGGCAGCGGCTCTGAGCATGGACGTTCCACCAGTCCCTGCACCTCCGCAAGCACCCATGAACATGGACGCGCACGTCCTCACAATGACGACCGCCAGCGAGCCCTTCGGGAAGCCGTCTTCACCGCGCCCCATTCCGTCTCCGGTGTCGATCCCCCCACGTTTCGACGACGACAGCAACATCGACTGCACATTCCATAGTACTTCAGACTCCTCCAACAGACCAGCATCACCCCGTTTCCAGCACATCCCACCGCCACCGCCGATCCCCGACTTCGTCTTTCCTGCGCGACCCTCGACTTCCGCTCCCTCTTCTTACTCACGCGCGACCGGCAGACGACCAAAGTCCGTGGCTGACCTGAACGACCGTGGCACATTGTCGCCTGGGCCGGCCAGCAACACGCCCATTCGTACATCGCGCTCGCCCGCGCTGCCCGACTTCTCCTTTAACCCCGGCGCTAGTCTTCCGCCCACGGCCGACCACGCCTTCCTCAGTCCTCCTCTGTCTCCCCATTCACCGAGGACCATTCCTTCGCGGCCTGGCGGCGGTGGACACAGACGAGGTGGTAGTGAGTTTGTCGGCGGTAGTGTGCGCCATGGCGAGGCCTTTACATTTATGAGCACCAGCCCCACAAAGTCGGAGAGTGGCCTTGCGTCGCCTCTCCTGTCTCCTCTGAACAGTCCTTCTGGACCGTCTGGCGCGCCTGGTTCCAAACCGGCTGGGCCGCCGCATGGTCGTCGTGGACACGCCCACCGGCGGTCAGCTGCGATTTCTAGTCACGATATCTCCGACATTTTGCAACCAACTAGCCCGAACCCGCCTTCTCGTGGAAATAGCGCGCCAAATAGTCCCTCTGCATTCGACTATAGGGAGAACAAATCGTATACGTTCCCAGAGAGAAATACTACCGAGAGTGAAAAGGCGCTGTCAATTACGGACGGCAAAGCACCCGGGGGGACGACGAAGCCCGACGAAGTTTCGGAACCGGAAGCCTCAACATCAGTAGAGGAGCCGACAGGCGACCAGGAGCGTTTCTCATCTTCGCCCAAAGCGGCTACTGCACAGCCACGAGCTCGAGTTGGATTTTCGGACACACTTGAATTCATCCCGCGTCCTTTGTCTCTTGTTTCCAGCGACACCTCAAGCACAATGACTGCCCGCCCTCCGACAGGAAGCGGCAATCATTCCGTGTCTGGCAGCATTTCGTCCATCGTCTCTCTGAATGCATCGATCGCAGCTGGCATTGAGCGTGACAGTATTTCGCCACTTGCTCGCAGTCCGTCACGGAGCACAGTCACTGAGTCGAGGCCCAGCACTGCTGGCGCCGTTCTTGACCGGACGCAAAGCATTATTGGTCCCGAGGATAATGACGGCGTGTCACCGCGGAGACGTAACTCGATTCCGCTTTTGGCTGCCATGCCCGCCGAAGCTGCTGGCCCAGAAGCGGCCATGCAAGCTCTTCCCAGCCCCAGCAAGACTCCTAAGCGGTGGTCCTTCTTCAGCCTTGACCCCTTTATCGGTGGCAGCAGCAACAGCAGCATCAGCTCGCCCAAGGGTTCTTCCACGCACAGCCCCGTCTTCACTGACGAGGCCTCACCAACGTTGGTCGAGATCGCTAGTACCGCAGCACCGAAGGCTTCAACACAACGTCCGGATCGCTGTGCTGCGTCTACCAACAACGCATCCGTTGATGACGCAATGTCGCTCTCCAAGACCGTGACGCGGAAACCGAGCAACAACAAAAAGAAGAAGAAGGTTAAGACGTGGGGTATCCTGGGACGGAAGTCCAAGCCTCGTCGTAAGAGTCGCCGTGCTCCGACACCGCCTCCGATTCGGTCTCAAGCCGAAAGCGATGGCGAGGAGTCGATTGAGCTGCCTGCTGAGGCAATTGGCTTGGCGATCAGCGAGCCTTCCACGACAGAAGGTTTCTCTGTGCCGCCCGTTGTTCTTGTGACTCCCTCGGGCTCGCCTTCTGAGCCGCGTGAGGAATTTTCGTCGTGGCAGCCACTTCCGTCGCCATCTCTTTCTGTTCCCGACGATGACGCATCTCTCCCAATGATCGATCTCGATGCTGCCTTGGGCCCGTTCAATACTCCTCTTCCCCGCAACGCTGAATGGGAAGCTGCGCAGCGGGCTGGTGGCCTGTCGAAGAGACAGTTGCACAGTGCTGCTGGTATGACCCGCTTCACTGGACCCGGCATGCACTATTCCCATCGTCGTGCTGAGAGTGCGCCAGAAATGCCGCCTTTCAACCGAGCGGGCATCCCCCGTTTCAGCAGCTCGACCGCTATGGCAGATGTGTTTGAAGAGGAGGAGGAGGAGGAGAACACGGCCGCTGACACGACTGAAGAGACGAATTCGATCGCGGTTACTACTCAGGAACAAGAAGGTGGCTCGAAGCCGACTTCTGTTCATTCGACGTCCTCTCTGTCCAGCACGCCGCCTCGCCAACCATCCGAGTTCCCATCGGACTTCCCTGACCACCACTCCAACAGCATCGACATCCGCGTCACTTCGTCCGACGGTGCCCAGGGCTCCTCCTACGACCGCGGCCTCGACTTCTCATCTGCCACCAGTGATGATGCCACATCTTCTATTGCTCTGAGTCGCCGTGGCAGTGGACTCAGCGGGCTGAGCGACGACGACAAGACTCAGCCAAGCATGGGCCTCAAGTCTGAGTACTCCGCCAGTTCACTCCACGATGATGTGATTGTTGAAGAGGATACGGGCAGCTTCACTTTTGGTGACGATGGCTGCGACTTCGTTATGGAGTCTTCGTCCGACTCGACCATTCACTCACCTGACCGGCTCATGCAGGGCAAGGATCTGGCGCCCGTTGAAATGAGCCCGCTCCACCTGCCGGCGACCGGCTCCCTTGCGCCCGTCAGTCCGTACTCGATGGCCCCGTCGTCTGCCTTCCCTTCGCCTCGCTCGCCCATGTCGTACGATGCCAACCGGATCTCGACTGCGCCCTCGTCCGTGACAGAGGACAACTTCCAGTCTCTCCTTTTGGGCGAGCCGGGCCCGGAGGTCCGTATTTCGAGCGACATTCCCTCGTTGACCAGCAGTAATTCGACGATGACGCGCGAAAGCGCCGCTCACCAGAACGGACCGCAATTCCCGCCTCTGGGTGGCCAACCTCGCGCGTACCTGGCATCTCGTGGCAACGACCGGCCCGCATCGTTCACGTCGACAGCCTTTGGACGCAGACGCTCTAGTTTGGCTAGTCTGCACAGGTTGATCAGCACGTCGCACGGCGAGCGGAGTAAGCTGTCGATGGAGGTACAGCTGGACAGCGCGAGCACGACTAGTGGCACGGACCCCGAGAAGAAGGGCAAGTACAGCAAGGCGAAGCGTATCAGCCGGATGGTGCAATTCTGGCGTGCGAAAGACGAGGCTACTTCGTGAGACGAGTCGACACGTCACTGTGCGCATATTACACAACCACGCAATCGTTTTATACGATCACCACTTGTGCACCACACAGCACATGCAATTATTTCCTTCACTCTCTCATACCTACACTCTCTCATCTTCTCATCACCTCACTGTCGTTCTTTGAAGCTCTCATACAGCGTTTCTTTTCTCATTTTTTTCTTTGTCATTTTCTTTTTGTTTTATGATGAGCATGAAGCACTTTTTTGTTTGTGCATGACGAACGGCGAGCGGAGCGCTTTCCAGTTGGCAGCACCCGAAGGGGGAGAATGAGGTGTGCATGTGAAGAGGAGGAACGGAATATTCACACGGAGCAACATTTGGAGATGTTTGGCTCTTATCTTTGTCCATATCTAAGCCGTGATGTCTGATTTTCCCATTGACTTATTTCGGATCTTGTTTTCTTAACAATTTTTTTGTGTTCTTTTCCCAAACGTTCAGACGCAGCGTCTGGACTTACACAACCAGAACAGCGAGAGGCACATTTACTATTCGGCGGCCATCTCTTTTTCCTATTTACCTTTTCATCCCATATTTCTTCGTATTTTCTTTCTCTTTTCTTTACAAAGAGCCACTAACGAACGACATTTTATGTACCTTTTGCTCTTCCAACTCTGTGTTCCATAACTATTGTGTCTTTGTGTTGTGGTGTGGCCATCAAGGACTATGTGCTCGGAGAGTTTCGAATAGATGTAGATACAAAACGTCACTTCCAACGGAAATATCTTTCAACTGGCCCTTCTGAGCCTTACAGCTAAGAAACCGTGTGGATCTACGGCACAACCGTTAGCGCGGTTTCTCAGCCGCTGGCCGCTAATTGGCAATTGCCTAGGTAATTCAAGCTTTGAAGCAAATCCGAGTTGCTGAGAGCTGACCCCCACAGCGACAGATTTACTGAGGTTACTATGGCTGTACAGAATATGGTGCCTTTCACGTGGATGTTTTGGAGGCAAATTACGACGTTCAGCGCCGGCTCTCCTACCGCAATAAAACAACAACAACCAGCAACGACGGCTTCATTTTGCTCGTCATCGACTTTGAGCATCAGCGCATTCTCCAATTGCAGTTTCTGTTTTATTTACGAGACCTCTATATCCCGTTAGGAGCCGACCGTTTCCTTTTCCCCTGCATACGAGCTCTGCAACAGCTGCCGTGCACTTTTGCGAATTGCGACAACTCCAGCTTTATCTTACTGTCGTTCCCGCGTCAGACACGCGCACAAACACGCACACAATGGCCGCACGAACAGCGACCCGTCGTTTGCTCCGCGAGTTTGAGAGCTGGCAGGCCGACCAGGAAGAGTTTCTCGCCGCCCGCCAGGCCGCCACCGATGCCATTACTGCCGCCGACGCGTCGGGCACCGAGGCGGACATTGCGGCCGCCAAAGAGGCCGGGCTCGCCCTCGAAGAAAACAACCCGGACCGCGGCATTGAGCGCCTCGGCCCGGCCGCCGACGGCGACGACCTGTTTGCGTGGGAGGCCGTCGTCAACGGCCGCGGCGGCGTCGGCGGCGGCTACGACAATGGCCGCTGGCTCTTGACGATCCAGCTGCCGGCGGGCTACCCGAACCAGCCGCCTGTGGTGACGTTTGTGACGCCCATTCAGCACGCCAATGTGCACCCGACGACGGGCGCTGTCTGCTTGGATCTGCTGCAGTCGGCGTGGACGCCGGCGCTCACCGTGGTGTCGTGCATCCGCGCGGTGCGGATGCTGCTGAGCACACCGGGGACGGACAGCCCGTTGAACATTGACCTGGCGGCGCTGCTGCGGGCAGGGGACACGGTGGCGGCGGCGCGGCTGGTGGCACTGTGGTGCGAAGAGCACCGGTACGAGGGTATATAAGGAGGAGGGGGGATGTCGTTGAGGGGGAACGATCATTTGCGATTATAATACCATGGCATCGGCATCGGCATTGCTATTTTCTTTTCTTTTATCTGTACATCTATTTACATATATTGGTTTCTATTTCGTCTGATGCTATTGCTTTGTTTTTCTATACTGCCTCGAGCACTGGCTCGCGATCATGGGGGTAGATATTTTTGGTTTCGGAGAACATGATGGGGTATTCGTGGTCTCGATACAGCGAGTTGGACATCTCATAAAGTCAGTGGTAGGCTGCAAGCAAGCGGCAAGACTTTGGGCTGCAGATGCACATACTTTCTCCTGGAGTACCGTCTCTCTGTTGCGATGATAACGGGAAGCAGTGCCATTGTTGGTTGCGCCGCTTTTGTGCAATTATTTCTAATAGCAAACGCTATGTCCTCTATCACCCACGCAATCGCCTCGTTCGTGTCATCATTACCAAAAGGATAAGAGCGAGAACGTTCTTGTAGACGAAGCAGCGGGCGAACAAGCAGCACGGAATTTGCATGATAAGTTCAACCAGTTGAGATGGCATGGCTGGCAAACAGCATCTGGCAGCAAGTGTCAAAGAGCCAAAGCGGAAGCAAGACGTCTTCGCTGATCGTGAAGATAATGAGGCGTTTGGCGGAGGTAGCAAGGACTGTTGGCTGATGTATGTCCTGTTCACACGTGGAGCAAGCTCATGTCGACACTTTGAAAACACACATCCATGATGCTTTCGAGTCAATTTGATCCACGTCTGCGAAGTGCATAGCCGAACAGGTAGTCCAATGCAGCATAAGAAAGCATGATTTTAACACAAGGATACGAAAGTGACCCTTCGTAATATACAAAGACGCCTTTCCCATACCAACCCTAGGCGGAACCAAAAAATAAAGGATACTAAAGAAGAATTGAGAACGAAGAAACAAACAAATGAATTGCCAACGTATGAAGATACCAAAACGAGAAAAGAAGACGAAGACGCAAAAAAGAAGCCACCTATGACAGATTTCTATAAAGTTTTGAATCCACATCAACACCCTGGGATTTTTTGTGGTTTGTCGTATTATTTTTTATAGCTTTGGTTGCTTTTTGGGCCTGCTTCGCTCGTCTAACCAAACAGAGAAAAAGAAGAACCGCGCACCCGTAAATTGTCGATGGTCGAAACTGAAGAGGAAGAAAAGAGACGTCGAGATAGATCCTCACGAACGTGTGTATATAGAGTATATAAAGGTGGTTTTGAATCGTTACGGTCGTAGTCGTGGTGGCATACTTTGGGATTGTCCACATCCGAGGCGACAATGCCTGCTCCAATCTATTCCTATTCGTTGTAGTGGTACACCTGCAGCTTGTTAGCACACGGACAGGGCAAAGGCAAAGGCAAAAGGCAAAATGGGAGCCAACAGAACTCACCTTGTAGTTGGGCAGGCCGATCGAGACCCAGCCGAGCCGCTTGGCCATGCGCGCGAAGCCCTCCGTCTCAATCAGGTGGTAGAATGGGAAGGCCGGGAACATGGCGCCGTCCCGGTGCACCTCGGCCTTGACCAGCAGCGCCGTGCCGCCCACACCGTCCAGTGGCACCTCCTGGTGCGGGCTCTCGCCGGGCGTTGTCATGTGCGTCATCAGCGACCGGTACGTGGCCATCTCGGCATAGCCCTCGAGCAGAATGTCGTCGGGACCCATCCTTGCCGCCAGCTCTTGGGCCGTCGGGCTGTCCTGCCAGTTGTTGTAGTCGTAGGGCCGCTCGTCCATCTTGTTCGTCTCCGGGTTGAGGAAGCGCTGGAAGCAGTTGGGCGCGATGATGGGGGCGTCGTGCGAGGCCAGGTCCTGGATGAGACTGGGCGGCGTCTCGACGACGTCCGAGTCGAGCCACAGCACCCACGACGTGGAGGGACCCAGCGTCGTGAACAGCAGCGAGTTGCGCGCCTTGGCCATGGCGGCGCGGCGCGCCTTTTGGTTCTCAATCTTGTGGCGCTCGCTCTCGTCCTGCGACACCAGGGGCGGGTCAATGTCCTGACGCAAAATAATGATGCTCTTGAAGCGCTCCTTCTCGTCGCCAAACTTTTGCGTCTTGGTAATCTGCGCCTGCAACGCGGCGGTCGCCGCGTTGCCCTCCTTGGTCTTGGGCAGGATGAAGGCGAGCGTCATGAGCTCGTGCGGGTATGACAGCTTCAGGAGGTTGTCCCAGTACTGCTGGTAGAAGCGCGCCATGGGCGAGAGCACCAAGATGTGCTCGTTGTTCTCAATGGGGTTCGACGTGGTGGTGATGTTGTTCATGTTGTAGCGCGTCACGGGCGGCGGTTTTGGCTTGCCCTTGCTGTTCGATTTGCGGAAAGGCGACGTCGGCGGCGACAGCGGGTGCGAGGCCGCGTTGGCATTGCGCGCGGCCGATATCGTGTGCGAGCCGCCTGAGGCAATCAGAAAGTAGAGGATGAAGATGCACAGCACGGCGCCGATGGCAATGGTAACGGGGTTGGCCCGCTTTAGACGGACAGGTCCCATGGGTCGCGCCATGGTCGGTTGTGTCGTAGAGAGGGAGGGAGAGTTGTCGTCAAGGAGCGAGACCTGGCCTGCTCACGTCGCCAGGATCGAGGTCGTCCTATCGCGTTGTCGTCTTCAATCTTGTCGTCGATGCCGACGTCGTCCCAGAGCGCGGCTGAGTCTCGTTCGCGTCCTCCCTTGCTAGCGCAGAGAGACAGAAGAGAAAACAGGTTGCAAATTACAAAGAACAAGCTAAGAAGAAGAGGACGAAGGAAAGAATAGAATCGTAAAAAAGGCCAAGGGGCCCAAAAAGACACGGGTACGGTAAAGGAAAAGCGCGCAACCGTAAAACGAAAGCTTGCCAAGACTGCAAAATTGCTAGATGACAGGCTGGGGAACGGACAGCGAAGCCGTTTCTTTGTGGGTTGTTCGTCTTTGGAGATCCAAACAGGAGGATCCGAGCCGCAACGCCGGAGGACGAGATCGGGCAAGGCGATAGGCTGGCGAGAGGTCTCAGAGAAGAGAAAAGAGAAAAGAGAACAACAAAGCCAACAACGAGGCTTGGGATTGACGTCTCTCGAAACAGGGGAGGAGGGACAAGGAAAGGGAGAGGAAGAGGGCAATACAGAATACGCAGCAGAGATTAGGAGTCGACTACACAAATTTTGCACCAGAAATGGCAGGGACTCCAATTTGGTGGAGGACACCAGACGGCAGGAGCCACCAGGGCTACAGGAGCCACAACTCGTCCAATGGAGCGTGTCCCCTGGGCGGTTGCTTTAGCTGTTCAGATCCAGTGGGTCCCGCCAGTAGCAGGAAGGGTCCAGCTGGCGATCCATAAGGATTTAGGCCCAGGACAGGGCAGTTGGCAATTGGGAACAGGGCCCTTCTGTCATTTCCAATTTCAGCGGGGCACTTACTGGCGATGAGGGCTGTTTCTGGGAAGGCTCCCTCTGACTGGCGCTAATTGCATGGCGGCGAAACCGAGAAAAAAGGAGGTGAAAAAGGGGCAGGCGCGCCCACCGACACGGTGACCATTTGCAGTGTAAAAGGGGAATGTGTTCGTATCGCACAATTACGAGATTTCTGAGTTTCTGCACCGTTTTCGTATATGTAGACAACAACGAGCGTGAATTGTCACACACTGCAGCTGCACATGCTTGTTTTCTCACGGGCAGTCACAGATAACAACGCCCTCTTCACAAGCGGTGCCACGCCAGAAGCCTGCTTTGAGATCACTGGAAACACGTTATCAACGGATGCATTCGCACTTTGCGCTATCTGGCACGTCTGCATTGCTCCAAGGCCTGTCGAAAGTAATAGCAGTTGAGACCTGGGGATCATAGGGGGTGATTGACGAGAAAACCACACAATGTCTGTAACTTGGTACCTGCAAATGCTGCGGCTGCCTCTCGTGGTAAGGCCATGAGCCCTCGTCTTCTATCATCAAAGGCAGACCCTGAACAAACTCCACAGATCAACGAGTCCTCTCGCAAGTCACAACGCAAAACTGTGCATCTTTTCTTACTGGCGGTGCATGGATCTCAGTACATGGGTTTCATAAATCTCAGGAGACTCATGGAACCGCTTTTATTTGGTGTGTACGTTCATAACCACAAATCTTCCAGGATACTGCCCTGACAAGGCTCGGTGTATAACTCTCTACAGTTTCTGCGCAAAATGTCGTAAGAAAAGGCTCCGGTTACACATCAGTACGTTTATCCCTGCCGTATCAGCGTTACGGAATTGATGCCTCATTGTTAAGGCAACAACACGATTGGCACGGACCCACTACGTTCCTGCGTCAAGTTCCTGAGCGGCTGCTGCACGCCAGTGCGGTTCAGGCCACAAGGCAGCGAAGGCACTGACTAAACCGGCTGTGTTAGGGGCGGCCTTTGCCAGCTGCAGGCCTGGCAGCGCTAAGGTACCGCCTGCAGCACAACCAACGCAGCTCTAGGCAAAGCTAGCACGCGTCGCAAAGCTGCCTTGGAGCTCGAAGTCGACGTTTGGCGCTGGTGCCTCCATTTCTCTACCTTTCGCAGAACCAAAACACATTCACAACCCACATCACATCATCACCACCCACGCCCAGTTTTGCTCTGGGCTTTTCGATCTGCATGCTGTCTACTGTCGCATTTCTCGGCCGTTTGTGATTTCCAATCGTCGACTCGTTCATTCATCGCTCTCACGTGTACATCCCGAGCTACGTGCATCATCAAAGACACGAGACGATCGAGACGACTGAGACGACCGGCTTCAGCTATCTTTGAGCTGCCCAGCCGACCGGAAACATTCTCTGCACGCCCCTATCCCTCTCGCGCCCTTCTTCGCGATACCCTTTCACAATGGACACTCTCGTGGCGCGATACAGCCGCCCGGCCTTCCGGAACCCGGACGAGTTCGACGACGACAACGACGACTTCGACTACAACGGCTCCATGCCAGGCCTTTCGCACAGATTCGCCATCCCCCCGATAGCACAGGTGCGTCTGCCTTGGTTTGTCTTTCCGGACGCTGACGTCTACTAACTATCATCAGCCCTCGCAATGGCTCCGTGCGGCCACCGACGACCGCTCCAACCCCAGCTGCCCCATCAAGATTGCCCACGGTACCACGACCCTCGCCTTCCGCTTCCAGGGCGGCATCATCGTCGCCACCGACTCCCGTGCCACCGCCGGCAGCTGGATCGCCTCGCAGACCGTCAAGAAGGTCATTGAGATCAACAACTGCCTGCTCGGCACCATGGCCGGCGGCGCGGCCGACTGCCAGTACTGGCTGGCCTGGCTCGGCCGCGAGTGCCGCCTGCACGAGCTGCGGCACAAGCGCCGCATCTCGGTCGCGGCGGCCTCCAAGATGCTGGCCAACCTGGTGTATAGCTACAAGGGCATGGGCCTGTCGATGGGCACCATGTGCGCGGGCGTGACGCCCGAGGAGGGGCCCGCGCTGTACTATGTGGACTCGGACGGCACGCGCCTCTCGGGCAACTTGTTCTGTGTGGGTTCCGGCCAGACCTTTGCGTACGGTGTGCTGGATGCCGAGTACAAGTACGACCTGTCGACGGAGGAGGCCCTGGAGCTGGGCCGGCGCAGCATTCTGGCGGCGACGCACCGCGACGCGTACTCTGGCGGCTTCATCAACCTGTACCACGTCAAGGAGGAGGGCTGGGTCAAGCACGGCTTCAACGACACAAACCCCATTTTCTGGAAGACGAAACTGGACAAGGGCGAGTTCTCCAACGTGACGAGCTCGTTTGAGTAAAGCGGAGAACCGGGACGGACCATACTGGTCGGATGAAGTCAACCATGAAAAATGAAAGAAATACCGAGAAAAAAAGAAGGAAAGATGGGATGGGGCAGGTCGATGACCGGCATAGAGGACCCGACAACAATACTGCCAACCAGTCATCCATGGCGACGCTTGATCCTTGTTGTCTTTCGTCACCCCGTCTCGTTTATGTATACTGTACCACCACTTTGGACTCGTTTCTTTTATTTTCATTTTTCTCTATTCTTTACCTCTACGAATACATTACTGGCGATTTTATACAAATGCATGCTGTCCATTACTTTCTGTTCTACAATTTGGCATCGTAAATATCGTTGACTATGAGAGTGGGTATCGTTTCTTGTATTATTACTGTGCACGTTTCTGCACCCAGCCGTCGGGGCCCAAGATTCCACCGTCTTCCGCGTTGGCATCCATGGACCACTTGCGGATCGGCAGCACAGTTAGGTCAGACTGCCACCCGGCCTCGTACATCTCCATGCCGGCCCATGCAATCATGGCGGCATTGTCTGTGCACAGAGACGGCGGCGGCGCCACCACTGGTAGGTGGCCGTACCCATGCACCTCCAGCGCCGAGCGAAGGATGTACCGCAGAAACTGGTTGCTGGCCACACCGCCCGAGACGACAAGGCATGTCGGGGGCGCATCTCTGCCCTCGCCGCCGCCGCCTGCACCGGTCTTCAGTGCAAGCAACAGCCGGCTGGCGAGGTGCTCAAACGCCAGCTGCATCGTCCCCCGAGCCAGCAGCCGGCGTTCACTTTCGGGCAAGGTGATCTTTGGTCCCGCAGGGGGGCCGGTACTCTTCGGAACCTTGGGAACACGGCCGGGGCCGCCGGGAACCATGTGCGGATCACCGCCGGCTGCCTTTATGACGGCACCGTTGAGCCCCGAAAAGTCAAAGCGCAGCGCATGGCGCAGGACGCCACTGCTCAACGGTGCCTCCAGCCGCCAGCCATGGCCGGATTCGAACGGCGCCATCTCGTCGCACCGCTGACGCGGATACTGGTAGCCGCTGTACGTTTCCGTGTCTTGGCCCTCGAACGCAAACGCTTCGAGGATGGCGCCGTAGGGCAGGCTGCGGCCGGCGCTGGCTTCGGCCGCCGCAATGAAGCCCCGTGGCAGAATGGCCCGCGCGCACTTGTCGAGCAGATCGCCGACGGCAATGTTCGCGGCGGACGCGAGGATGCGGTGGTCGTTGAGTGCGCGCGAGTGCACGAGCATCGTGTGGCCACCAGAGACGAGGAAGGAGAGGTAGGGAAAGGACACGAGGGGGGGTGTCGTTGGCGTCGTCGGCGTCGTCGGCGTGGCAGCAGAGGACGTGGACGACGCCGCCGCCGTCCTTGCTGCGTCGAGTGCCTCCACCAAACGCGGCGTCAGGGCGTGCGCCTGAATGTGATGGACGCCGACCAGCGGCACCTGCCAGGCGACGGCCAGCCCCTTGGCCACGGACAGACCGGAGGCCAGCGAGGACCCCATGCCGGGCCCGCGGGTCGCTGACACAAAGTCGGGCTTCCCCGACGGCAAGCATGCGGTAGCCTTTTGCACGAGCGGCGCCAGCGCTATCATGTGCGACTCGGAGGCGGCCAGCGGGTGGATGCCGCCATATGCACGGTTGTCGGCCGTGACGCGCTCTTCGAACAAGAGGCGTGCTCGGGGAGTCGCGCCGAAGGGAGCCCCTGTTCTTTCCTTCTCCAAGACGGCCACACAGGTGTCGTCGCAGGACGTCTCAATAGCCAGGGTCAGCAGGCTGTTGGCCCAGCGGCGTTGAGCTTGGGCATCCGATGCAGGTGCTGTTGTAGCAAATCCTCTTCCGGTCTTTAATGCCCTGGACTCCTTCACTTGACAAGCCGTGCCGGATAGTGAGGCGAGATGAACAGGTGAGGGTTGGGAAGGATGATGAGCAAGGTACAGCCGACACGGCTGCCGCGACGAGATGCGTGTGAAGGTCCGCATCAACTTAAACTCCTAGACAGAGATTCTATAATATAAACATGGCGTGGGGGCCAATTAAAGTTAAATGGGCTGTCGGGACCTGGCGCTCTACTGCTGTAAGTCGCTCGTTCGAGATATTCCTGAATCGCGCAAAAAAAACTTCACGCAACAAGGGCTGCACGTGACCGTGATCGCAACCGCAACCAGCTCAGGGGCAACCAAACAAATAAATGCGTATGGTTTCACAGCTACAGGTAGAGGACGGCGTTGTTTGATAGGTAAATGCCAATTTTATGTATGAATAAAAACAAGACAACTCAAGAAATTAAGCGACAACCAACAGCTTGTCGACGTGCCCAAAAATGATAACGCCGTAGATGCAATGCATACTGTGTCCTCCCAATATGTCCCTACTATTATGCAACGTAAAATGTCTTCATATCCATTTCAATTCCTACTCTCAGACAACAGTATTTCCATTCACTCCTAAAAAGTTGTTCCATGTGCACTGGCAGCCGCCCGTGCCGCCGTCGGTGCCGCCAAAGGTCGGGTTTGTCCCATGGTTAATGAGCGTGCCACCAAATGAAAGATTGTCAATGATAGATGACGCATTGGTCAGCTGGATTTGTTGAAGACCATTCATAGCGCGCGCAAAAACGCCCTTTTGTGAGAAGTCACCACCGTGCAGGTCCTCGGTGATGCTGATTGGGTATGGGAACGTGCCGGGCTGTGTGGCATTGCTGCCGATGTTGGTCGACGCTGCACTGGTGTTGAGCAGCTTCGTCGTGTTTTCCATGCGGGTCCAAATTTGTACCAGGAACCGCGTTTGCAGAAAGGTCACAATGTGGTTGGCGTCAACTTCGAGTGAGCCGCCGTTGGCGTCACTAGCCAGCGGGCTGGAGTCGGGCGCGATGGACTGCACGTAAATGGTCTTGGAAAAGTACGAGTAGAACCCAAAGTGTTCCGTAGCCAGACCGCGGTCGTAGAGGCGAAGAGGTTGCTGGATTGGCAAAGGGTGCATGACAGCCGGCGCGCCTGTACCGTCTGCGTTGACTGATGGCAGCGGAAAGCCGTCGGCAGCCGTCGGTGTTGCGTCACGGCGACCCAAAACGGCGTTGGGACCGGGTGCGGTAGCATTGACAGAGGACAAGAATGTGATGTAAAACGGCGTCGGCTCGCCAGCCTTATTGTTGGCTACAATTCCATCGGTTGTATTGCCGAGGAACCACAACTCCTGGAACGAAGGCGGTGCGGGTTGCGGCGTAAACCCAGCATCAAACGGCTCGGTGGTCGCGGTGGTCGTGGCCGTGGCAGTTGCCTTCCCTGTAGCAGGGAGAATAGGTGTCGGGATGGTTCCGGCTGGGACGTCCCATAGCTTTTTTGTGCTGTTGTCGAACTGGATATCAAGGAAAAACGATGGCTCATCCCCGGAGAATGCCCCGTTGCCGGACTGCTGCTCTTTGGGAAGCGTGCAGCTCCAAAGCGACGTTGGGGATACGCAGCCTGGTTTGTTGACGGCGTTGTCCGTGCCAATGACAGTCGCCACACCAGTCGGGATAGGTGGGAATCCAGTGATGTTGAGCCAGATTGAGGACTCTTCTGCAGGCGCGGCATGCTTCTTGGACAGAGTAACGGCCAGTACAGTGATAAGAGCGAACAGGAGGACTAAAGTGCCAATAACGGCCATGCAGATAAGACGGTGCCGTCGTCTGGTCTCACGACCACCCTTACGACCAAAGCAGCCACTGTTTGGTAAACAGCCACGCCCTCGCCACAAGCTACCCGCACGCATGGCAGCCGCATCTTCCTTCTCATGCCGGCGCCGAGACCGCTCGACTTTGGTGGCTGCTTTGGACGCCACCATTGCAGTACCTGGCAGAAGTGCGCCCGATGGCCGGGTAGGCAGTGGAGTGCCAGCGGCGGCGGCGGCGCTCCGCACACCAGCAGGTGTTAAAGGCACATCGGACATGTGGATGCCACCCTGCGATGTCATGGTATGTGCCAAGCCGGGAGACACTGGACCAGGAGAAGGTGGAAAATCCACACGCAGAGGGTGACCCGGCGGGAATACGGCACGATACCGGACCGTCATTTCGGGCCGCGACGGCGGCTCGTAGGGTGGGGGAGCTTCGGATGGTGTTCGTCGACCCCGGTCGCCACGATCAGACAGCACACTGCGTCCGGTCAATGGCGCCGCATTGGCCTTTTCGGATACCTGGACAATTCTGGGCGTGAGACGAGGAGTAACGACACGCTGTGCAGGCGCAGGCGCCGCAGATCGAGAGGACGAAGCGACGGTCGGCGAACGCTCATTGACACGGTAGAAATGGGAATTGGCAATGGAGGTGGAGATGCCCAGAGCGGGCTTTTGTGCCTCAGTGGACACGGCATTCTTTTCATCGGCGGTGCTTCTCTTCCACCATTCTTCCTCCGGTGTCAGAAGGGGAGAGATGGGTGTAGTAGATGTGGTTGTCGTTTGTGCAGGTAAAACAGTGCTTGTAGGCGGTAGAGCAGGAACTGCCGGGATCACGTCCCTGGCGTGCAGAGATGCCGCCGATAGAGGCGACTTGGCCGATGCTGGTGTAAGAGGTGAAGAAGCCTTTGCCATGAACGAGTGTGCCGCTTGCTCCGTAAATGGGGTCTGTACGTGGTCCCACCACCCCGAGCGTGTAGTGTCAATTGTGTTTGCCATTGACCGGACATGGCGACCGCGAGACCTGGACAGTCGATTGTACGATGCCGGGCTGCCGTCCTCTTCAAAAAGCGTAATGGGCGTGTCGTTGTCAAAATCATCCACGTCGTGGAGACGTAGGCTGTCGTGTCGTGCCGACCTATCATGGCTTGCCGTTATCGTGTTTGTTGGCGCGATTCCCACACCAAGTGCGTCACGGTAGGCAGATGGCAGGCTGGGAACAGGTGGGGCTGGCTGTGCAGTTACAGATTGACCAGTGAACTGGGAGTAGATACTGGATGCAACACGCGAGGTAGAAGCACCGGCGCTGCGTGGCGAGCCCTCCTCGGTATCCGGCGACCAGACCGACTGCATTGGCGCCTGCGGCGACAACGTAGACATCTGATTGAGCTGCGAGTTCTGGGCGGTGGTGCCTTTACCATGGTATATTGGGATATTGATCGGAGTTTCGATGGTGGCCGTCTGTGGGCTGATCGTGCGGCCCACGAGGTCGTCCTCGGGTAGGCTGATGCCAATGACAATAGGGCGATCATTGGGAGAAAGGTCCTGTCCATGCTCGACAGCCGGTGAACCAGACTTTCCGGTTTTGTTGCTGTTTCCGTTTCCGTTGCTGTTGGCTCTTCGCCTCCGCCAGTGCCAGGTGCCAATGGACGACTCAGACGGCTTGCCCTCAAGGGCGAGGAGAGCGGCCGCATCGACGAATTTTCCGGGTCCTGAAGGGGGTTGTTGCTGTTGCTGCTGCTGCAGTTGCTGCTGTTTGCGCAGTTTGCTCATGTCGGTGACCAGGCGGATGCCGGCCTTTGCGTTCTGCGCCTTCTGACGGGCACGCGACTTGAGCCGGGACGGATTCGGCCCCGCATGGTGTGCGGGAAGTACGACGGCGGTCGACATTGTGGTACTTGTTCGAGAGCGTCTGGAAGAAAAGGTCCTGGTTTTGGTCATGGACGTTGGGTTGCGAGAGTCGGCTGGCGTGTCGGGCGCTTCTTCTATTGTTGCAAGCAGTGGCGGATATTCGCCATGAAGGTCGTCGAGCGGCTCGTCACGGCCGCCAGGGATCTCCTCGTCACAATCGCTATCCCAATCCTCCCATTCCTCGCGGTCAGTCGATGTCTCGGTATGGTGGTGGCCGCTGCCGAGGTTGTCATGGTTGCCATGGTTGCCATGGCTGGCTTGCTCGTCATGGTCGTCAAAAGGCGTATTGAATGGATTCGGTTGTAAGGTGCGTAGGTCGTCCATCGTTGTGTTGAAGCGGGAGCACTGGGCTCACGAAAAGGGGAAAGAATGAATGGTGTTGTGTATATATGATGCAATGGCTCTGCCAGAGGACCAGTTCGGTAATGTGTCCAGTTTAATGATGCTGGCAAATGGAGATGAAAAAGGATGCAAGTGACAAAAAAAAGCAAGGTTTGAAATGAGATGCTTTTCGGAATACGGTGAAATCAGAGGACAGAAAAAGAAAACGAAACCGTCATCTCCTGACAGAAATTCGAGTCAGGATCCTGAATGAGGTCTCGTGGTCGAGCAAGGCTATTATTGACAAGTGGATGTGGAGGGGTTAATGTTATTGTTCGTGAATAAAGGCGGGAGAACAATGAAACGTGACAGCATCCAACCACACCACCGCGTCACTCGACAATAGACAAAGACCAGCAACAAAGGAAGTGTGCCAATGGAAGAAAGGATGGCAGAGAAAACGAAAAGAGGACAAGAAAGGAGGAAGAGTCGAAGGGGGGGAAGAAAGAAGCGACGAAAAACGAGTGTCGGAGAGTCGGATCGAGTCAGGGAACGGATAGGAGGGAGAAGGAGAGAAAGACTGGGCAATGCGAAACGAACGACTTGGAAGTGTAGCACCCAAACCAGATGCAAGAGAAAGAAAAGATAGAAGGAGAGAAGAAGGAAAACGCTTGGAGAAAGACAGAGAAAGAGAAAAGAAGGAGAAGAAGACGAGGCAAAACATGTGTGTGTGAGAATGAGGCCCAAGGGGGCGGCCAAGGCCAAGAACCGCCCAGCTGCATGCTCCTGCCATTGTCATGAAGCTGCTTTCCAAGAATGGGAAGTACGATTCTGGGAAGTAGCGAATCCTTGCCGGCCAAGCAAAGCAGCCGATTTAATTCGTCCGCATGCCAAAGAGCCTTTTTTGGCAGGCGGCTGTCGCTGTTGCTGTTGCTGCTTCCTATTTTGGAGTCTGCAGGGGTCCCGCAACATTTGGCAGGAGCAGCATCTACAAGAGAAATATCAACGTGCCAAATGTCCCAAACATCCTCGCCGCCCCACGGCGACATCAGACAGCAGCGAGAAAGAGGAATCGCCGCAGCACTCTCAGGAACAGGTCAGAAGCGGGCTTTCTCGGGCCGCTTGCCACCAAGAGCAGCGAACGCGACGCGCACTCCTATTGCGCAGGCGGAAATGAGATTCTCCCAAAACGACAGAGTCATGACCGCGTCTACGAGGACTGTCTAGTTGTCGACACCGCGAGAGGTTGAGACGTCGAGGCGCGAGGAAGCTAGCCGAGCCAAACGACGTTAGGATGTCTGATATAAGCGCCCTACAGCAGTGGGCGCGCGCTATCATTGGCCGCTGCGTAGCCGCCAGTGTATTAAAGCTGGGGCCCCCAGCACACTCGCAGCTTTCCGCAGTAGAAGTGTGCAAGGATGCTCGGGACAATTATGCCTACCCGAGCGGCTGATTGGACTGCAGCATCTCATACTAATTTTCCTTCTGGTTGTAACTAGGGACGTAGGCGATAATACTGCTGGAAAGCCCACATTGTTGCCGTTGGCTCATTCCGTGCGAGTTCCTGCTCCTTGCGATACATTGCCTCATTGCCCCTGCTGGCCAAGGAACAGGTGACGGGCCACTTTTATCCAGACGTCTACCTACGAATTACGGAGTACGACATATGTTGTGCTTGACGCCGTTGTCTCGGTTCTTGGCGACTCCGAATCCTCAGGAAGCGCCGCCTTCCAGGGTGCATCCGCCCCGTCTGATTCCGGCCTCGGATCGTGCGGGGGGCTCCAGCTTGTCGTGCTTCCATCGCCTCATTGGCTTGCCATAGTTTTCTGTGCGCCTTTGCAAGTCGCCGGTTCCTTCGTCATGGCTGGTTCTCGTGTTGTTTCACTGCTCTCCTCATGCGACCACCTTGTGTCGTATGGTCTTGCATCTTACAATACCTTCACGTTGCCGGTACTCTGGGAGCTTGGTTGTTTGTCGGTGACTACATGATTCGTCACCTGGGCCATGGGTAAACAAATACTCAATCACGGTGGCTGTAGCGACAATAAGGAGGCCAGCCATAGCGATTCACAAAATGATTTATCTCGATTGTTCTACTCATCTAACTAGCTGTATGAGCCGCTCGGCTTTCTTTTGCATGCAAATGTGCCTGTCGGCCAACAGTTTTAAGAGTGTCTGACTCGCTAAAGCCACTCAGGTCTCCTGGAGTGGTCTAGATCCGAATCGTCCAGGTTTGCTCAGGCCTGTGATGTGCACAAGTCCCGTCTTGGCGACCGCTGCCAAGAAATCACCAACAGTGACAAGTGCCCCAACGGCCTCTCTAGTCAGGTTCCCCGCCAAACCTGTCTTAGGCCAAACCCAGTTTAGTGACTGCAACGTCAACTCTCAACACGTCGTAAAAGCATACCGACAACAGAAGGCAGGCGGGCCGTCGGCACATGCGTGTCTCGAATCGCCGACGTCACAGCGTTTTATGAGCTGGAAAGCGGACCTGATCCTCCTTGACAATCTACCTCGCGACCCAATGATCCAGGACGGTAAATCGCGCAATTGTTTTTCAATACGAGGTGTTGCAATCTTGCACAACAAACAGAGCAAAAACGGCATCGGCAGTGGATTTGGATATGTTGATTGTCAAAAGAACCTCACGACGTCGCTCAAAGAGCACCATGTCTTTTAAACTGTCGGACCTGATCTAGCAGCAGGCGCACTCCTCGCTGCAGCCGCAGCAACCACACTCCTCAAAGAAACCGCCGCGCATCGTCGCTTCTGGCTGCATCTCGGGCTGCGCCTGGAGGGACTTTTGAGCGTTAGTAAAGACAGAAAAACAAATGCAATTTGATGCCAAGAGGATGCCAAGCTGTGCCACGAGGGACGATGCCGAATATACATACCGGCTGCTCGGTGACAATGCTGTCGTCGGCGTTGACAGCCATGGGCTGCTGCTGCTGGGGAGCGTCGGTGGAAGGCATGTTAAGGGATTGGTTTCGGAAGAAATAAATCAGCTCTTGACAGTTTGCTGCATAAAAGAAACAGTCGGATGAGTGAGTGTAGGTAATTCTAGAGTTGGTTTGACAACAAGCAAAAGTAAGGTGAAGAAAGAGAAAACGGTGCGACGAGATCCGGAAAGTGTGCTCCTTTTTATGTACAGCTTGAGCTTGAGTGATGACGGCTATTTTGTCACTTCCCCTCTGTTTTCCTCTTTTCCATCTACATCCAGTTTTGCATTCAGGAAAACCTGCCGCGCTGCGGGAAGGGGACTGCTCGTACTGGCAGGCGGAGGGAGAGTGAGGAAAGGAAAACGATGGCAACGTGGGCCATTGAGGAGCCCAGACCACGGTTGCCCCTCTTGACACGTATGTTGACCACGCCGCTCTGACTTGTCTTCCCTGTAGAGAAGCAACATGGCTCCGGAGTTGCATTTGGGACCGATTGCCTCCCTGACTCGCGCATCTAGACGCACCTGCAAAGTATGGTGTGGAGCTGGTGCATCCTACGCTGCAAGGTCATACCCAAGCATAAACACCGTTACGACCCTGTCACGGAAGCTGACCACGGATGCACACGCTTGCAATTTGCTGGTGACACGTAAAGAGACAGCGAGGAAACCAGAAGCCGAAAACGCCACCCCAATTTGACAGCAGAACGCACTGGTACAGGAAAGCTTGTTTTGTCCCGTTTTAGGTGGCGACGATTTGGGACAGGGATCATACAAGAGAGTCCAATGTAAGAAGCAAGGAAACTCGGTTGTAGAAGCAGCAGCAAACGCAAAGAGTCATACGCAAACTGGTTGGAGTTTGATGTGGTGTTGCTGTCCCCTCGTCATAGGCGTGTTTTAGAAAAGCGGGAAGCGCAGACAGGTACGTCAGAGTGAAAAGGCCTGCACACGCAGCATGGCTAATTTTGGCTACGTGAATGAAAGAACGGTGAAGACTTCTGCTCTGTGCTTTTGCCCTTTCCACTTTCAGAAAAGCACGGTTCGGCAATTTTAGACAAAGAAGGAAGGACGTAGCAGGACTCAGACGCATAATGGCCCAGAAATGGAAAGTGCGAGGCACAAAAGCCACAACGGGATTCATTGAGCGAAGGGAGCGGATGCAAAGCCCGTGGAAAGGATGGCTTTTCTGAGCAAACACGAGCCCGAGGCAGCTTCATACTTAAAACCTTCGACAAATTTCTCCGGTGAGGCGGAAGTATTTGGTTTGACATTGGCCAATAAAAACTAAAAAACTTAAAAAAAAAAAAAAATTAAAGAGAGAGAGGGGGAGAGACCGAGAAAAGATGACAAGCAACAAAAAACATTTATGTGAAGACAAACTAAAATTGGCGATCGAAACGGACACACTCGTTTTCTTCAACCATGCCGCTGATTTTGTTTCCAATAGATTCACCTCGCTTTACGAGCGGTGTGACAATATCTGAGCTGTTCGTAATGCATTCCTTTTGTTTGCCTGCCAGTGAAATACCGATCTCCAGTCCTTCCTTGTTCCCATCGTTCTGTCCGTGCCACTCTTGATAGCTGGGTGTTCTTATGAGTGTTTGTAGGAGCACCTCACTTGCTTTACATATATGCTAGCAGCATCCGTTTCTTCACTCTCCTTGTAACAACACATTGAGGGACAATGACGTCGCGCCGTTCTGACCTGTACCATAGAAAGACCGAACACGGCTGAGGGTCCGACACAAGAACCTTGCATAGAACACGGTCTAGAGTCTGACGAAAGAACGTCAAATAGTATTTCCCGACGCGACGGCCGGCCGCTGTAGGAGGAGGTAGCCATTTCTGGCTAAACATGGTCTCCCTATTTTTCTATAGGAAACGATGGACGTGAAATTCTAGAGATTATCCGCTACACAGCACACAGGACCATCGGGAGCAAGGACCGGAGAATGTGGAGATCGGGTCCGGTTTGCATCTCATACCAGGCGGAACTAAGCAAGCAGCTGTTTGCCTCCGGTTCGGAGCTCTCCTCCGTGTGCGCAACGGTAACTTGCTTTGGTTG